AGAATAGAATTCTTTATTGGCCAAATGTGATTGGACACACAAGGAATTTGTCTTTGGTGCAAATGCACCAAAGAAAAGATACATTTGTCAAGAGTCAAGAATCATAAGGTACATAAGGTATATCACACAAGGCTTATTCTTGATGTTCACCCCTTCAAGGATGATTCTGATGATGTTTACATGTTTTGTGCAAAGATCTACTGTTCCAGATAACTGATTGTACATTTACAGCAAAAGAGAGCAATAACAATAGCGTTTAGGCTTATATACCCCTCCATAGTGCTTTAGCACTCTTTGGGTGGTCTACAGTCTAAGCATTATTTTCATATTTTTTCATACTTGAAGGTGCTTGAGAGCACTCCAATCTGTCTTCCTAGCTCTTTAAAGCCATTCTGTTCTTCCAAGCAAAGAGATCTGTTGCTCAAGAGGATTCTGGATGGATTCCAGACTTACGTTCATAGTCAACCCAGAAAGGCAAAAAGACATCTTGTTTGTATGATAAAGCCTAGATTTGCTTTATACCTGGAATGCATTTTTTTTCTTCCCCTAGGAGAACATTCACTTCATGGGGTGTGAAGTCAAAGCCAATGCTGTCATAATAGGGTTGGCTGGCTCATCTCACTATTGAACATCCAGAAGGTGGCAGTGTATGCCTGCCAAACAGGTTCCTTTGTATTTTTTTTTCAAAGCAAGCTTTTTTTTTTTTTGCTGAGTAACCACAGGATTTTCTACCCTTTTCAAGATTTTAATATCATTTTATTGTAAAAGTTTGAGTGTCAGAAAATGTCCTTTAAGGAGCCATTAATGTGAAAACTGCTTTGCAGCCGACAATAGAAAGTTCAGTTTTACTGCCTCATTTTTTTTTCCTTATGTTTCTTTCTTTCTTCATCACTACATTCGTTTTGAAAGTTATATCCCCCCCTTTTTTTTGCTTCTTTGTGGCTGAGCTTTGCTTATTATTGTTTTCTTCTTTGATTTCAAAGAGTAGATCTACTCCTGAGAAAATCTATAATTCTGGGCTTCTGATTTCAGGATTTCTGATTTCAACTATTTTAATTACCTTTTCAACAGACCTTTTACCTTTATTTAAGCCCAATGGAAAGTGTTTTGTTTTTTTCAGTGACAATACTATCTGACTTTTGCCTTCATTGTTTTTTTTTTTCTTTTTCCCAAGACTTCTGTATCAACTCTGAAATACCTCCATTTAAGATTAACACAATCTGAAAAGTTTGCCAAATAAAGTTGTGGTGATCTGTTCAAATAATATGAATTTATTTATTTCTTCCTATTACAATTGTTGATATCCATCTGGGTTCAGTTCCAAGTGGGGAGAAAGACACTGGAAACATGGAGGCTGTTTGGAAAGATGGTTTATTGATGAACAGGATCACACGCCTTGGAGCTCTTGGGCGAAGAAAAGGGAAGAGATGCTGAGAGTCCCTGGGTTTTATACCCTCTCTGGCTTTGAACTTCCTGGGGCACAGGAAGACTATCCCGATTGGTTGCTGTCAGAGGTCATAACTAGCTTTCTAGGTTGTCTGTGTGCTAAGTTTGGTTGAAACTTGCTGGGTGGTGCAATGAAGGGCAATTAAGTGGCTCTGCCTGAAGGAGGTAGTTCTTTGTTATGTAGAGTAAACTGGCCCAGTTCTTAATGGCCCATTAACAAAGGTGGGGGGGGGGGCTGTGTTTCTGCCTCTCTGAGTTTCCACTTCTCTTTTAGGGGAAATAGTCTGCCTTTTTATTATATCCTAAAATATTTCATTTTTCTTGGAGAGGGGTGGGTTTTAACTTCCAATACATGGTTAATTCACTATTCCAACCGAAGAAAATATTTCTAGCTCAGGGCTGAACTGTGGGGTCCTTGATACTCTCTGAGTTTGGTGGTTTTCTTATAGACATTTCATCTCCCAACTAAGTAACAACTTCAGCAATGTTGTTACTTGGTCAGTTAATGGAATATCTGCAAGCAAGCCATCACGCTCAGAGACCACCAAGGACTCCATTTAATTCATAGTTGTCCTCTGGATTATCATTTTATATAAAATGTGCTGCAGTTATCAAAAAAACATAACACAATCTTAGGCCGTGTTAACAGAAGGATAGAATCAAGATCGTGTGATGTGTGATAATAATGTGGTAAGACCAAAGTTGAAATACTGCATCCAGTTTTGGTCACCTTTATATTAAAAAAAAAAAGATGTTGAGACTCTAGAAAGAGTGCAGAGAAGAGCAACAAAGATGATTAGGGGACTGAAGGCTAAAACATATGAAGAACAGTAACAGAAATTGGGTATGTCTAGCTTAATGAAAGAAGGACTAGGGGTGACATAATAGCAGTGTTCTAATATCTAAGGGGCTGCCACAAAGGAGAGAAGTCAACCAATTCTCCAAAACACCTGAGGGTAGGACAAGAAGCAATGGATGGAAATTAATCAAGAAGAGAAGCAACCTAGAACTAAAGAGAAATTTCCTGGAAGTTAGAACAATCAATCATTGGAACGTCTTGCGTTTAGAAATTGTGGGTGCTCCATTTCTGGCGGCTTTTGAGAAAAGACTGGACAGTCTTTTGTCTGAAAAGACTGCTTGAGCAGGACCTCCAAAGTCCCTTCCAACTCTTGTTATTCTGTTAAAACTATTTTTGTTTGTTTCACAAATATTTCTATGCTTGAGAATTGTTAATTTGTCTTTCTTTTTTTCTTTTTGGTCAGCGCTTCATTTTTCCAGTCAGATCATTCAATCAATTGTTCACACTGATGCAAATTACTTCTGGGGTGTTCTTCGTTCTTAAAATGCATATTCCGGGTGCCAACTTTAATCAGATTTGTTGGGAGGTGGTAGTTTCCTACTATCCAATTTCCTACATCCTTTCTCTCTCAAAAACTTAAGGAGTGGAAATACCAATATCAAATAATAGAATTGTGCAGTTGGAAGGAGCCATGAAGGTCACCAAGTCCAATCAATGTAGCTATCCCAATTAAAGCTGTAATTTTGACTGATCTAAACCAATTTTTTGACCCTACTGTAAGTTAGGTAGAGTCTTAAAACCAAGAATGAAAGAATTTGTTCTGACAGGCAAAACTGATGTGTTTTTTTTTCCTTTGAGCTTACAGTATTATGCCTTGAGAGACAAAGATACATGAAATGTTCTAATAATCCATATATAAATAGTTTATCTGGATAATATTATAGCTTCTTCTGAACATATTTATCCCTACTGTGATTCTCAAATTAATCAGTTGTGCTAATTACCTCACATTGAATTTATTACATTTGTATGCCTCATGACTCCCAGTGATTCTTGGTGGCTCACAAATAAAATATTTGAGAGAGAGAGAGAGATAAATAAAATAATAATAACAGTTTACCTCCTGCAACAATAACTTTAACATCATCAAACACAGTTGCAGGAACTGGGCATGGCTAGTCAAGCAAAGAAAAGGACCATGATAGCACTGTTCCAGTATTTGAGGGGCTGCCACAGAGAGGAGGGGGTCAAGCTATTTTGCAAAGCACCTGAAGGCCAGACAAGGAATAATGGATGGAAACTGAACAAGGAGAGATTCAACCTGGAAATAAAGAAGAATTTTCTAATGGGGAGAGCAATCAACCCATGGAACAGGAGTTGCCTTCAGAAGTTGTGGGAGCTTCATCACTGAAAGCTTTCAGGAAGAGACTGGACTGCCATCTGTCAGAAATTGTGTACAATCTGCTTGGACGGGGGTTGGACTAGATGACCTACAAGGTCCCTTTCAACTCTGTTAATCTGCATCTGTATCTAAATGAAAGGTATCTGCCTGTCCTAGGTCCTTGAGAAGGACTAGATAGGTTGATAAAAATGCCAAATCCACTCTGAACTTTGGCTGACTGCATGACAAACCATATAAAAAGGTAAAGACACAGACAAGAAGAAAAAGGGAAAGCAATGGACACAATCCATGAAGGTTTGACTCATCCTCATCAAATGCTTTGGATAAGACCCAGTATTCCAGCTCTTTGAAACATCATCAGAATGGGTGTCATCCAGATCTCAGGGAGAACTTTGTTCCGAAGGCAGGTGCTGCTATAGAGAAAGTGTATTTCTAAGGTCCCCATAGATGGCACAATTAAATCAAAGGGAGTAGGTACATGCCAACCATGCCAGATCAATTTGGTCAGGCAGATACTATGGGAGATAGCTGGCGTTTCAAGTAACTAGGACTCATGCCATGACCATGTCAGAGAGGAAAGTACAAAAGATGCATCAAATAAGGAACATTCCTTTGAAATACAAAATAGTTGCTCAGCCTACTCAACTGGACTTCAATCAAAGAGTTGTGGATCAAGGGTCCCTCAATCTAACTGCAAAGTTATAATTGCAAAGATGTGCAAACTATATCATACCAAGTTCCTTGATATCACAGGTTGTTGATTTATTTACTGCTAACACTTCAACTAAATTTTGTGATCGTACCAAACTGGGAAATCTTTGGACACCTAGAGAGCACACTGCTCAACATAGAAAGGAAATGTATGACATAAAACAATAAAAAAATATTTTTTTTTTAAAAAAAGAAAGAAATCACAGCAGGGAATTATAAAGCAATCTAGGATAATGCATTTTTCTAAACAGGAAAAAAAAAGAAGTGAATGCATGAGATACGCTGTTGGTTTGAGCTCCAAGCTTGCCAATTTGCTTGCAAACGTTTCGTCGCCATTCGAGGAGACCTTGTCAGTGCATTTTGAATTGTGCTCCTCTGTCTGAACACAGATCTTTTTATGAGATTCAAATTAGCCTGAATGTTGTTTGTTCAGATATTTCTGAGTCACGGTCTGATTTAGGACTGTTTGATTGGCTGGCTGTTATTGCTGGGCTATAGTTAAGTACCATCTGTGTGATGCAGATTAGGATTACAGTTGATTGTCTACATGCTTTTGATTCCTGGTCTAGTTTTCAGTTTGTTTGATAGTTTGAGTGGCTGGCTGTTGTTACTGAGACAACAGTGAGTTGTAGGACCGGACTAACTACCTAATTACCAACCCAAGCTCCTAATATTCAAACACATTTCAAGCATGAGATATATTTCTGATAACACATTCTTGCATTTTTCTGGCCACAGCGTATCTGTGAGTTTTGGAAGCCATATTAGCCTCAGAAGCTTCCATGCTGCCGCATTCCAGTGCCTGGAAAATTGGGAGCGGGGATTTCATAAAGTGGAGGTAGTTAGTCAAAACCACATTCTTATTCTCAGTCGAGGACATGTCATCCTACACCCGGAAATGGTGTGGTTTGAGGAAGGTCTCCAGGTGATTGGGCCATGTGATGGATTGATGGGTGCAGTGAATGGGGTTTTGAAAAATCAATTACCAAGGGAAAACCTGGAACGCTCAGATTTGGGTTTTCCCAGATGTGCCAATATGACAACTCTAATAAAATGTAACTTTGAGAAAATGCTGGGCTTGGAGTTTATTGGGTTGGAGTTGTTAGTTCGAATGCTGACAGTATCTCTGATGGAAAGGGCTTCCCCAACGTCTGAAAGCTTCCCAGTTGGAGTATCTGAAATATAGGATTGCATCCTTCATCGACATGTGTAATTAAGTCACTAGGAGCTTTGCATTATCAAGCAGCCAGTTAAGTGGTGGCAGGGGATATATTGTAAAACATATATCTCTAAATTGGCCTCTTTTATTTAAACATCACTTGTGGATTTGCTTATTAATATTTAAAGACTCAATGTTACCTCTATCCCATCCTTCTCTTCAGGGAATGGCTTTATAATCACAGAATTGTGCCTTTTTATTGCATTTGCATAAAAATAAATGTAACTTTCAGCTCAGTAAACTTAATGACAGTAAACCACTGACAGTGCCACTGGCCCTTGAGCTCAGCCTGCTACAGTTCATTAAGAAGAACAGACAAAGTATTTTCTCAAATCTTCAGTGACAGTATTGTATTTATAGAAACTGACTAAACCTCCGAGTTCCAGCTGCATTTTATGAGAAATACATTAGTCAAACAATCGCAGAGAGTGGCATTAATATTACCATAAAATGGTTTTAGTGATACAGTTATTTTTGTCGGCTGGGTAAATTAATCAAGTAGCTAAAGTTACTTTTAAGTACATAATATGAGCTTTTTTTTTTTTTTTTAAAGATGGTTTCCCTCTGTACTGTTGTATCTACTGTTGTATCTGACTCTAGGGGCAAGTGTTCATATATGTTTCCTAGCCAAGGGAGCCAGCATTGTCTCAAGATGCTTCCATGGCTAGTATGATTACATGCCGAGATGCATGGAATGCTGTTACTTTCCCACTGAGATGATACCTATTTATCTACTTGCATTTGCGTGCTTTCAAACTGCTAGATGGGAAAAAGCTGGAGCAAGGAACAGGAGCTCACGCTATCATATGATACTTCGGTCTCAAACTGCCAGCCTTCTGTTCAACAAGCTCAACATATTAACTAATAGGCTACCATGCCCTCTTACTATGATGTGTACATAAATATAAATAAATATGAACATAAATCGATGAAAAGGGTAGGTTATTGGTGAAATGTGTTAAGTCCAGGGTTTAGGAAATAAAAAATTGGCAAAATATAAGTTGCAAATGTTATACAATGAAATATAAGAGGGAGGGAGGGAGGGAAGGAATGAAAAGAGAGAGAG